TTTCATAATTTTGTGCACAATAATACTAGCTTTACCTACTCCTGAAATGTTTAAAGAAAATGTATAAATATACTAGGGGTCTTCCCTTAAACTCGTAAAAGCCTCCAAATTATATCGTAAAGCTCGTAAATTTACGAGCCTCGTAAAATAACTGTCAATATTTGAATGGAGCTCTATTAACGAGCCTCTCGTAAAATTTACGAGGCAAATTTGATGCGCAAACGACCTCGTAAATTTCAGTGTTGCCGAGGGGCCAAAATTGTTATACTAAAACGTGTGATAAAATAATGAAAAAAAATAATAATAATAAGCGAATAAAATGAATGAATTTCATCCGCTTACTCTATTGACTTAGATTTTCTGCAAATTTTCGGCATTTTTAATTGTATTTTAGTAAAGAGTCATAGATACAAGATGGCGGGATGTTATCGAAAATACTACGAAACGAAAATTGCTTCACCAAATCCTGGTTGATCTGTCAAACCACTTTACGCACCTATTTACACCTTTTCACAAAAGGTACGTTTCCATATAAGCCTCGTAAACTTGCGAGTTTTACACAGTTTAAGACTTCACGAGTTTAAGGAAATCCCCTAACTATTTCCCGCCAGTTACAACACACGCTGCCTTTGCAAGCAACTCCGCGCGAGCCACGCCATATTTTCCTTTTTTTCTTGATTTATGTCCATAAATGTTGCATACGGAAAATTGAGGTTCTACGCCGACTCTTACTAATTTTTCCCAAAAAATGTATGCGGATAAAATTTGCAAACATTTTAGTTGCCTAAAATTTTACCAGATTTTAAAACTGTACCAAATCTCAATGTTATGTGAAATTATAATTTCACCGTTGTGCAGGAATAAAAAAGTAGAAAAAATGTAGCAAAAATGGTACATTTCGGCTAAAATGGCAACCATGGTGACAACATCCGCTGCCTAATTACAAGCAACTCAAACTGTGCTAGGGACCAAAATGCCACAATGTACAGTGGCTTTCAAAATGTGCGAGAACAACGGGTTTCTTATTCAAACAATCTGATTATTCCCTGATTGTACATTCATTTTAATTAAAATATTAAATACAGATTCTGTTTATAAAGAAGCATGAAATTTCTTGAATACGGCGAGGAATTCTTGGTCGGCAACCTGCCGAAGGTGTAGTAAATTTATTAAGTATATTTAAGTATATATAAAAAATCACACATTTTTATGCTGGCGCTAGTTTCTTCATGTACGAAATTTTACTCCATGTTATACATATTTCTTTCATGCATAACTATGGTAGTGGAGAAGCTATATATGGATTTAAAGTGAGCAACAAGTTCGTGCAATCCCAGCGTGTTGCATGCGGTGAGTGTTGTGTCGGAAGATTTACTCTGAATTCTAATATTTACTTCAACGCAAGCAAACTATTTCATAAAATACAGTTACTGGTTGGAATGAAGAACTACATATCGAGCTCTAACCGCCAAAATAACGTAAGCGACATTTTTTCAAAATTTCCTTTTTGATACAAAAATATTCCTAGAGCATCTAGATGCATTTCTGCATCAAAAAGAAAATTTGAAAAAAATGTCGATTACGTTATTTTGGCGGTTAGGGCTCGATATGTAGTGGCTGAGCTGGGAAATCAACTGCGCGGTTAAGTGCATTTAAATTTTTCTTAATTACATTTTCTGTGCTTGGAACATTTTCAGATGTACGCTGAGAAAGCACGTATGTATAGTCGTGGAACACGAGCTGTTTAAGGAAGAATGTTTCATCTTGACATATGCATACACTTTTGCATCCAAAAGAAAAGTAAAAAAATTTTCAAGTTAATTAAATAAATGGAGATTTATTTAACACTGTTACTTTCAGTGGCAAAAAATAATAATTTACCTACATTCATTATTATTATTTTTTTTTTTAATTTTTATTGAGCTTGAGGCCGTTTTTATTTAAAATTTTTTGGAAAAACACCAAAAAAAAATGTTTCAAAATAAATCGTTACTAGGCCAGAAAAAAAAAAAAATATTGAAAAATTTCTTTAATGAGCTAAGAGCAAATTAATTTTTTTTAGCTCTTTGCTCCAGCTACACTCGAGCTAAAATCCTTTGCTCCTTAGCGCCTTGCTCGTTTGCCCAACTCCGCTCCCAAAACCTGGTTTTTATGCTTTGTTTTTGGGAAAAAGTAATCATTTGCATTGTCGAAATTTTATTTTAAAATTTTGTTCTTTTCTTTTGAAATAAAACAACTTATTTGTTTTATTATTTCAACAAATTATCCTTTTTTATTTAATATTCATTTCTCTTTACTAGTATTAAATTATGCTAACATTCTTAAATGAAAGGAAGCACAGATTTGTAATACAATTTCGACATTATTTCTCTTTCTTTATAGAAAAAAACACATTCAAATTAGATGTATTTATTTATTTATTTATTTTTTTTTATTGAATTAAACTAAAGAAAAGCTTTGCTTTAACAAGTAAACAGAACAATTAGTATTGCAAATGAGAAAATCAGTAAAGGTTCTTTGTTTAACTAAATGAAATTTTGTATAAATATGTGTATTTACTTCTGCTTTTAGTTTTGTGTGTTTTTGTTTACAAAAATTGATTGGTGGCTATCAAAAGACATGTTTATAAACAAGTGCTGGCTAAACTAATGGAAAATTTAATAATATTATACATTTATGACATTTTCAGTGTGTTTTTTTTAACTTTTACAAAAAGTTTTAGCAGATTTTTGGGATATTGCAAGTGTCATTAAAAAAACATTTCAAAATTTATTAGATACTCGCACTTCTGTTCCGAAAAATGTTAAGGTAAGCATTTGACAAAAAAAGTTTTTATAGACATTTAGAACGTGGCGGTTGATTGAAAAATTGAAAGATTTAGTAGATTTTTTGCGAAAAATTAAAAGATACGTGTATTTAGGCAAAAAAATTTCGGGTATAACATTTGTTTTTAAATAATTTGAAAATTCCGATGTTTTAAATTTCTTTATTTCGGGCATTTTCTGAACATTTGTAAGATACTTTTAGTGAAGAAAACGTATTTCACTAAGTTTTTGGAATGCTGCAGTTGCTATGAAAATTTAATGTATGCATATTTTTTTCTGCAAATTTTGAATATATAACTTTTAACTTTGGAATGTTTTTGCCTCACTTTTCTTCTGAAAATTTTTAAAATAATTTGTGGGCAAATGTAAATTGAATTTTTTTTGTTGACGTTTTTTCTGAAAATTTTTAAAATAATTTATGGACAAAAAAATGCCTATTAGTGGACTTTTGGAATGTAACAGTTGTTTCTTAAATAATTTAAAAATTTTATTTGTATGCATGTATATAAATTTCAAACTTTTTAGGTACTTACGCGCTTCCCAATACTGCAAATGCTCGTAAAAAATTATTACAAAAATATTTTTCCGAATTTTTTTTTTATAATTTATGACCCATAAATCTTTTTGGTAAACTTAAGGGATGTTACAAGAATTTTTTCAGATATTATGAAGATTGTATTAATTTTTCGAAATTTCAGATTTATTTCTTCATACTAAAAAAAAAAACTTTAATTGGAATATTGCAATTTTTAAAACCGTTTAAAGCTGAAGAAAATTGGTTATAAGAGAAGCTTACTTCTGCAAACTGAAAATCGTTACATAACAAAAAAAATAGTCTACGCATCTGCACTTTTTATGTTTCATAAAATCTTATTTGAAAAAACCTTTGACACTAAATATTTGGACACGAGGCCTAAAAACAAATACATATTTATACTATAATTATTATTGCATTACATACAAAATTACACAACTTATTTTTGTTTTTGCTTTTTCTTCTTAGTCTTTCTTAAGCTTGCTTCTCAACGTTTTCGTTATCGTATTTTCCATGCTAATTTTTCTTATTTCACTTGAATAATTGTAATAATAATAAAAAAAGTATATAACGTAAATACACACATGTGCACGTATGTATGTATGTATACATAGACATATTTTTATCAATAATAATAATAATAATAATAATAATAGTTAATTAATAAGTTTTATATATGTATGTGTATTTTTAAAATAAATCAATTATTAGCAACAACATATAAAATATGCATGTTCGGGAGCTGTTCTCGCCATTAAAGTGTGAGTTTTTCACCGCTTTGCCTAAACTTTAAAAACCCCATAAAGAGTTGGCATTAGGCTTGCTGACACGTTTTAACTTTAACGATTTTTCTAATCTAAAACATTTTTAAAATATATTTATATAAAAAATTGTTTTTGCTTTATTTTTTTTTTAAATATAAATTGCTTTTGTTTTTGAGTTTTTTCTGCTACTTTTACACCATTTTTTGTGTTTCTTCTCTGCCATTTTTCATGCCTAATATAGAAAAATATATATGGAAATATATTTCAAAACACTCTCATTGCATTTTTTTAATAAAATTTTTCGTCATTTATTTCTTACATTTCTGCTATTATTATGCAACATTCTTCATCTCGTTATATTAGTTTATTTTATTCTTAATACAAATAAACATTTATTTATTTTTTATTTTTTCAATAATATTGTCATTTAGCAATCAGAAAAATATATGCATGTATGTGTGTATGTATGTATATTTAAATGTATTAATATTAGTATACGTTATCCTCAGAACTAAGCAAAATGTGATGTGTTGTTGTTGTTCTCACTTTTCAAAACAGTAGTCATAGCGTAAGTGGTTTTTTGGATTGTAAAATACAGTGCTTTGGAATGTTTGGTAGTGTTACATACAGTGGTGTAGGAGCGTGTAAATATGGGTAAAAAAAGAAAATAGACGCCATATACGTGGCCTAAACAAAGTTTAAGATTTTAACATACATACATATTTATAGGCTTTAAAATATGTATTTATATGTATGTGTGTGGTATGTATATATATGTATATATGTATATAATTTAACTTAATATTTAATAATTGCATCAGTAGTTTTCGCTTGTCTCGCGTTTCATCTTTTTCACATTTTTGTTTTGGGGGCTGCTTTTTTTTTTGTTAGCAGTCCAAAAAGCCGGACTATATGTATAGTCATGCGCACAAAAAGGATATGTTTGGCTAACGCGGTGTGCTGTTCTTTACACTTATTGTTGCCGTTTTTCTTATTTTGTTGTTGTTGTTTTTACCTTTACAATATTCTACATTGTAAAATTATAAAAGCAGCATAATTTATAAAACGTTTAGTTTTGGTTGTTACTGTTCGGGTTTTTCTTGCTTTCAGTGTTATAAAATTTAGAAAAATTTCCTGTTTCTTAGTTAACAAATATGTATTTTGTATTCTTTTTATGTTTGTTTTTTACCTAAATATTTTCTAATTTTAATATTTTTTTTTTACACAAAATTAATTTACAAGCATTTTTTCTATATTTTTTTTAAATCTTTTTCTTTCGTATCTAAAGCGTTGTAAATATGTCTGTTTGTTGTTTTCTTTTCGTTTTTGTTTTTGTTTTCGTTTGTATACAATAGTTGGAATATGTACTCGTTACATTTGATTTGCTGTAGTTGTTGTTGTTGATTTTATATTTGTGGTGGTGTTGTTGTTGCATTTGTTGCTGGTAATTGTGATGAATTTCGTTCTATGTAATTTTATATCAGCATTCAGACTTATCCTCTTCAACAAGATACTGCGTATCCTTGCCGGTATCCGCTGATGGATCCAGTTCTCTGGTACGCAATTGCAATTGCGGTGATGATTTGTGTGTTATGCTGCTGGGCGCTAATATGGCCGAGACGGGTTCGGTAAACGGACCAATCGGTTTCGATTTGGAGGGATCATGTGGCACTTCGTAAATACCTGTGGAGTATAAAATGAAAAGAGGATGTATGTGAGAGAATGAGCGTCAATGGGGTTTGAAATATATTAAGAGAAGATGCTTTGATGAATAAAAACATGAAACTATCTCAGACACTTCCATACTGTGCGATAGCGATTCACAGAACCGAGGAGCTGGATCCGGAGAACCGGGTCCTTTAGAGAACCGATCGGTCAGGTTCTTATAAGAACTGAAAAACGTGTCTAGCGGAACCGAAACTCTTCGATTCCAAAAGACCGAAAAACGGTTCCGAAACTCAATTCCAAAAGACCCAAAAGAACGGGTTCAGAAGAACCGAAGCTCGACTCAAAAAACACCCGAAAAAAGTTTCTGAAATACTCGATTCCAAAAGACCCAAAAAACGGTTCCGGCAGAATCAAAAAATGGTCTCAGAAAAACCAAAAAAAATGCCTACAGACTGAAAACACATTTCATAAGAACCGAAAACGGTTCCTACAGAACCGAAAATATGAAGCTCACATTTGAGTGAAGAATGTCCTATTTCAGAATTTTATTGAAAAACATCCTATTTCAGAATTTGGTTGAAGAACGGCCTATGTCAGAATTCAGTTCAAAAACGCCCTATCTCAAACGAAAATACATTGAAAATGTGCTGACATAGGGCGTTTTTGAATCGGCAGTTGAGATAGGGCGTTTGTCAGTCAAATTCTGAAATAAGGCGGTGTTGAAAAATTTTCTGAGATAGGGCGTTTTCGAAGTGGTTGCCGAGATAGGTCGATCTTCCACTCAGCCATCAATTTGGTCTTGATGTTTAATGGACCTGAGTACTCCTCACAGCTGCCTGGGCTTATAACCCAAAGTGCCTGAAAGTAATGAACGAATCCTTCCCAACTACCAAACCAAAGTACATATATCATATTCATTCTCACTCTGACGGAAGAATAAACCAACAATAACAATCTGCATAAACTATACAAAAAAACGCCAAAAATTATTTTCCCTTCTTGTTTACCTGTTCCATTGCTCAGGTTTGGATCGTTGTTGGTGCCCGACTGCACGGCATCGTACATTGGATTCGAGAAATCACGCGTTTTAGCCGTATTCACGGTCTGCAGATTATAGCCCTCAATGGGAGGTACATCATTGGATGGATCCGCCGCTGCGCCACCTGGAAAACCAGGTGCGTTGAACTCAACGTTTGTGCCATGGCGGAACGTAACACTTTGTGATGATGTTAATGTCGGTAGACGCGCCAATTTACCGCTGCAAGTAAGTGAAGAAAATATTATCTACCACATTTTTTAAAAAATAGTTCATCTTTAACTTACAATGGCTTCTTCCGTATGACATACCACGCGCCACCCGCTGTCAGCAACACCAGCAGTATCACCATTATCGGTACCACAACTGCTGTTACATTGGCACCGCCGTGACCGAATGCGCCGGCTACACTGCGATCACAATGCTCGCCCTTGAAGTCAGGCTGACATTCACAGTATAAATCGCCACGTTCATCTTCGCGGCATAGACCGCCATTCTGGCATGGACAAATACGTGGCGCAGGACGTGGTCGCTCCGCTGCAGCGTCACAAATCACTTCGGCAGTGCTGCGATGCGATGGCAGTGGTCCGGAATTATCTGGACAAGCGCAACGATGACCGCCAGGTACTAGCAGACACAAATGCGAGCAACTGGACTCATAGCATGGATTGCGTAGCGAAGTATTGTAACGTTGCTCATGATAGACCTTCAGACCGGACGGATTGACGAGATTACGATGAATGATTACCTGCACGCCACGACCGAACTTATCTTGACGTATCACTTCGCCGGANTCACAAACCTGGGAGCGCTCAACACAATTCTTATTAGCGCATTGATATTGCGTGTAAAGATCACATGGTTTCTGTTTATTGGCACACAGCGTCATATTATTCTCATCTGAACCATCACCACAATTGTCCACACCATCACATATCTGATAGCGCGCCACGCAGCGGTGATTGGCACATTGGAAGCGGCGCAACGTATCACAATTAAAGTCCGTGCACACTTTAACATCCTCATCCGAACCATCACCACAGTCGTCGGTACCATCGCACAGATCAGAAGGCGAAACGCAGAGGTTATTGTTGCACTGGAAGCGCGACTCAGGGCAGTAGCGCCCGCCAGGGAAGCGTGGTGGACAATCAATTTCATCAGACATATCACGACAATCGCGATCACCATCACAACGGAAGTACGAAGCGATGCAGTGGCCGGACATGCACTGGAAGGTGCCGTTCTTGCACTGATAGCCCTCACAGTTCATCTCATCAGAGTTGTCACCACAATCGTCCTCATGATCACACTGCCAACGCGACGAAATGCATTTGCCATTAGCGCAGTGGAATTCCGACTCTGAGCACTCACGATATTTACCCTTGCAAATGGCGTCACTCTCATCGCTGCCATCGCCGCAATCGTCCGAGAAGTCGCACATCCATTGTCTAAAGCGGAGAGAAAGATAAAATATTAGAAAAATAACACTCTGGAGGCTATTGCTATTAACCTACTTTGGTATGCAGCGATTATTGGCGCACTTGAAGTCCGTTTCCGTTGAGCATTTCGGGCAATTCTCTGGCAACTCATCGCTATTGTCGCGACAGTCGTCTTTGCCATCACAGAAGAGCCACTTGGGTATGCAGCGGTAGTTCGATTGACCGGGGCAGCGTTGCCAGCCAGTGGTGCAGTTGCGTTGGCGGCACATGTAGGCTGGTTCGTCGGAATCATCGCCGCAATCATTGTCGAAGTCGCACATCCACAGTTTCGGTATGCAGCGGCCATTCTTGCAGCTGAATTCCGTTTCCGGATCGCAGGCGCGCTTATCTGAGGAGTGAAAAAATTAAATATATAGTCAAAATTAAACTTGGCTAGTACTTACGACACACAGCCGGATCCTCATCACTGCCATCCTTACAGTCGGCATCGCCATCGCAACGCCAACTATCGAGTATACAGCGACCGCTAGATTTGCATTTGAAGTCCGATTCGGGGCAGGGAAGATCGCAATTTTGTTCATCGCTGCCATCGCCGCAATCATCGGTGCCATCACAAATGGTCGCGGAAGGTGTGCAGTTTGTGTTCTTGCACTGGAATGTGCCAGCGCGGCAGTGACGCGTCGGGCAAGTTGAAGGCTCATCGGAACCATCCTTGCAATCCTTTTCACCATCACACTTCCAGAACCAGGGTATGCATTTTTCGTCGTTGCCACCACAACGGTGCTGGCCGGCGGTGCAGTTGGCTATGCAGGTCTTGCTATCGCGCGCCAGGTAGAATTGGTTGGGACAAGCGCACTTGTAGCTCGGCGCGCCTTCCTCGATGTAGCCTTCGATATTGAAGTAGGTAGATTCGGGCGGTGGCGCGATCAGGCATAAATGTGAGCACCCGCCATTATCTTTGCCACAGGGATTCGTGTAGGGTAGTTGTCTAAGCGGATGGTTGATATGTATGTCGTATGGACGGTGGGTAGTATTGCGGAGTACAGTATAATTTTGACCGGTGAATTTGTTGGCGCGCATTATGCCCTTCAAATTCCAATCGGTCCAGTAGAGATAGTCGTCGAAGAGTGATAGCGCAAAAATGTGTGGCACCTTCACGCCAGATAGCACTATGTGGCGGTGACGACCTTCCAAATCGGTATAGGCTATATAATCCAAATGAGCATCCGCCCAGTAAATGCGATCCGTAAAGTAGTCAATGGTAAGAGCATTTGGCCAGGCAATATCATCGTCCCAGGTTAAAATGCGCGTAAAGTTCGAGCCATCCATGCCCATTTTGGCGATGTAGGCTTGCAGATGCCACGACGTGAAATACAAGTAACCAATGCCTGGATGAACGACCAGCGCACGTGGATCGATGACGCCACTGCGAAGTGTCTTACGTTTTGTGCCGTCCAGCTCCGAAACATCCAAATTCTTCGAGTGTCTATCGAGCCAATAGAGTTTGCGGCCCACCCAATCGACCGCGATGCCTTCCAAGCCATGTGAGTCATGGCGTATGATGGCTTCACGTTCGGGTTTCTCATCGTCGTTGGCGTATTTGGCGCGGAAGATAGTTTTGGCGGTGACATCACAGAAGTACATATACTGCTCCTGAATGTCGAAGTCCAGCGCCACTACATTCATTAGATCTTGGTGCATTAGATTGTATTGGCTGCCATCCAGTGACATGTTGCGCACGTAGTATTTGTTGGTGAATACCAGCCAAGGTTTGATGTTGTCCTTTCGCTTGCAAGTGTGTTCGTCCGTTTGGCGTTCGTAATAGCGTTCGTCGCACTTGCAATAGTAGCCGCCTGGTGTATTGGAACAATGTTGCGAGCAGGCGCCTGGGAGCTCAAGACACTCGTCGATATCAGCGCAGGCCTTGCCGTCGGGCATGAGTCTGTAGATTGCGGTGAAATTAATTATAAGTTTAGTTACATGACGCTTAATTTAGGGCTATACTCACTTGTAGCCTTGATTGCAGTCGCAGTAGTAGCTCGTCAACGTATCTACACACTTGTGTCCGCACTGATGTATCTCAACCTTTGCACATTCGTCTACATTACAATGCGCTGGCTCGTCTGACTCATCGGCACAGTCGGGGACTTTGTTACATACCAAATGATAGTCAATACATTGGCCATTCGTGCAGGTAAATTGACCATTCGGACATGTTGTGTTATCCTTCTTACAGCCCACTTCATCCGAGTGATCACCGCAATCATCCTCGCCATCGCAACGGTATTGATTGCGTATGCACTTGAAGTTCTGACAGGTGAACTCCTGATCCGAACAACTTTTGTATTTAGAGCTGCAGAACTTACCCTCATCAGAACCGTCACCGCAATCGTTGTCATGATCGCAAGTCCAGCCCTACGGAAAGGAAAGTGGAATGCGTTTACAAATGTCTAATCAAGTGAAATACTAAACGGCCGTTTACCTTATTGATGCACCGGCCATTGTCGCAAGTGAACATGTCTTCGCCGCAGGGTTGTTGAGTGGCGCAGTTATGCAATGTTGTGTTTTCGTCAGCGCCATCCACACAGTCCGGATCGCCGTCACATATCCATTTCTTCGGTATGCATTGTGCACGACCCCAAGCCTTATTTTCCAAGCAAGTGAATTCCGTCTCCTCATCACATTTGCGGTCGTCTAGAAATTGGGTAAAAGCAAATTAAAATACGTAAACTTCTGTTATATTCCACAAACAAATTTTAAAACTTACTGCACTGATGCCTGCTATCCTCATCACTGTTGTCCAGACAATCATTATCACCGTCGCAAATATAAATTCTAGGTATACAGTTGCCATTATCGCATGTGAATAGATCACCGAAGCAGGTGCGTCCTTCTGACTTGCAGTACTCTGGCGGTTCATCAGCTCCATCGCCGCAATCATCGTCACCATCGCAATACCAAGTCGCCGGTATACAGCGGTGGTTCGGGCAACGGAAACTGTTCGTTGGGCATGTGCGTTGTCCGCAATGTAGTGGGTCCTCATCGGAGTTATCGCCACAGTCGTTGTCACCATCACATAGCCAGTAGGGTTCCACGCAGATGTTGGTCTTTTCACATTTGAGATGGTTTGGTGGACATGTCGTGTTCTGTGGACAGCGTTCGTGCGTTTCATCCGAAGTTGTATTGTCTTTGCAGTCATTGACGCCATTGCACACTTGTGCCATGGGTATGCAACGTCCATTGCCACATGTGAATTCGCCATCCACGCAGGGTGGATAAGTGCAATCGATCTCATCAGAGCCGTCTTTGCAGTCATTTTCATGATCACATTTCCATGACTTGAATATGCAACGTCCATTGTTGCAACGGAACTCTGTGGGCGAGCATGAATGGAAAGCGCAGTAGTTTGGATCTTCGTCTGAGTTGTCGCCGCAGTCGTCGTCGCCATCGCATGACCACATACGTGAAATACACTTGCCGTTCTGGCAATAGAATTTGCTTGCCTCGCATGTATTGTTGCGTGGCGCGCACATGCGTCCCTCATTGACCACCTTCGAGTTGTCATCGCACTTGCATTCCGCCTTGCCGTTCGGCGCCGGATGACAGCTTTGCGCGCACCCACCGTTCTTGATCAGACATGGATTTACAGTACACTTTTGCCGGTCAGCGCTGTAGACGCGTATGTCACGTGGTGAGTCCTCCAAACGCTTTACCATCTCCACGACATTGGCACCAGTGTGCTTTTCGGCGCGATATACGCCACGTAGCTGCAAATCGGTCCAGTAGATGTAGTTGCGGAAAACGGTTATAGCGAAGGGATATATTGTGGCATCTACAAGCAGCTCACGATTCTTGCCATCCAAGTCAGAACGTTCGATCTTTTCACGCACGGCATCTGTCCAATATAGTTTGCGCTCGTCGTAATCGATCGCTAGGCCGCTGGGTTGTGAGAGCTCTTTGTCAACAATAGCACGTTTCAATGAGCCTGCCATGGTGGTGCGGAAAATCTTACCGGATGTGCCGAAACGACCCCAGTCGGTGAAATAAAGTGTGCCGTTGCAAGGATCGAGCACAATGGCACGAGGTCTTTCCACACGGGCAATCATTACCAAATCAGTGCCGTCTAAGTTCATAGCATAAATTGAGTTATTCGAGCTATCGGTCCAGTAAATCTTCTTCTGCGTCCAGTCATAAGCGATACCTTCAGGATTAATGCCTCTACTCAACACCACATTGACATCGTTGCTATTCGGGTTGTCAGCCTTAGTGTAGGCAATTTTTGCCCATGGACGGATTTGTGTGAACAGCATGTGATTGTCCGCAAAGTCAAAGTCAAGGCCGACAACGTTGGTGAGATTATTCATTGGTGTGAATGGTACTTGCGTGGAATGTGGGTCCAAGTTGACCGCGCGTATTTCAGTGCGCGTAGCGAATACAAGGTACTCATTGACTACCTCGCACTTGCGCTCATCCGCAGCCAGCTTTCCGGTAGCGCAGTCGCAGCGATAATTAGACGTGCAGGATTTGTTTGTTCATGGTGGGAAGCTGAAGCAGAGCTGATCGCAGCCGCCATTGCCTAGGCGCGCACAGGATTACCGTCATCCTGCGGCTGATTATTGATATTGTAGATAGGCAATGTCGCGTAGTTTTTGTAGATTGGTACGCACGCGTACGGGCGTCGATTCGTTGCCCGACAGCTTGGAGGCCTTAAAAACGGTCATCAAATTGCGATCTACCCAGTAGACGTCGCTAGATATATGGCTATACCCATTGGATTGGGTAAATTGCGGCGGATGATCTTGACGATTGCCACCTGAATACGAAATCTTTTGAATGGTGTCCAGTTTTGAGTCGACCCAGTAGACATCGTGTGTCAGCATGTCTACCGTTAAATCGCGTGGATTAGAGATGCCAGATGTTACCATCGGTATCCAATTTGAACCGTCCAAGTATGCTTTGCCTATGCGCGGATGCTGTCCATAATCGATCCAGTACAACAGACGTTTGATCGGATTAACAGCCAGTTCGCGTGGTGCATCGTTGTGGTCTTAACCAATACCTTGCGGTTGCTGCCATCTAACCAACAGACTTCTACATAGTTTTCGTGTGGGTAGATATTCGTGAAGTACATATTGCCTGCGACCCAATCGATAGTGAGGCCACGTATGCCATTACTGCCGATACCTCCTTAACGATGTGCTGCAGTTCCGTGCCATTCGGGCGTCGCGGAAAATGCCGTTCCAGGTGCCCGTTATATTCAGCCCAGTAAATCCACTGTTCGCGGAACAGTACATCAACGTGCAAAATATGATGGCCGGGACCACTAATCGGCACCATTGCTTCAGAGCTGTCAGTTAAGCTGTAGCCGCGCGTCACATCCAACTGTGAAACAACAGCGAATGTCTTATAGGCCACACAGTTGATATCGTTCTCCTTGCGGTAGCCGACACCACAGGCGCAGGTGCGTGAGGAAACATCATCGGGTATGCAGAGATGCTCGCAACCGCCTTAGTTCATTTGACATGGATGCTGCATCATAGGGCGCTTCTTGAAGATGATCATACTCTTAAGATCGGGTTCATTGTCGATTATAACCTTTGGATTATCGCCGCGTGGCAAATCGATGCGTACAATCTTCTCATAGACTGGATCAAGGTAGTATAATCTGGAATCTAGGATGCCCAAGCTTCTGGGTCGCGAAATGGCGTTCTCTTCCGAGAGCAGCATACGGTGATCCTCGCCATGGTAGTCCATAACACAAATGCTTGCCGGATATTGCGTGCTATAGTACACCAATTTCTTCTCGATGTCCAATGCAATACTCACGGGATGATCGATTTCCGATTTCAGTACCATCGGCTTGTTGCCATTCATATTCACGCGTCCAATCTTCACGGGCACACCAAAA